AGCCGGTCAGCGCCCAGAGCTTCCCTCCTTGTCCCTCAGAGTCAGATGTGGCCTTCAGGCACTTGACTGAAACTCCTTCCTGATGCTGAGTCACTTCTTGCCCAGGGAGCACTCAAAGATCGCGTTGGTCTCCCAGCTGGCCACAGCAGATCGTCTGGGCCCGTCTCGGTCAGGATCCTGGATGAGCTTTGGACTAAACTAAATTTCATCCTTGCTACGAACTGCATCGAGGACACCAGATCCGTTTTCTTTCTTGTGTCCTTTCCCCCCGCCCTGCAGTCATGTTCTGCTTTCCATGTTGTTTTATGAGCCCCCAGGGCGAGCATCCAGGGTTGGAGCATATCCCCGCCTCCATGGGAGCTCACACAGTGGCCTTTTTTTTTTTTTTCCGTCCGGGGGGGCGGTTGTTATCATGAGATCACGGAAGGCCTCTCTCCAGGGAGAATTGGATTTGACAGCTTGTGACATCGGTTGTCGGGGCTCTGTTTCTGGGGAGAGAGCGAAATATTGCAGCCATCGTGGCGGCAAGTTCTAGGCCGCCTGGATGGTTCTTCTCTGATGAGAATCGACCCTCTGCACGATCGGCTGGTGAGAGAAAGGAAAAGGTCACCACATAGGAGGAGTAGATGAGATTCTCTCTCCTGACCTCTCCTCTGCTTTGACTTGCCGGTTCTCGTCCCAGAAGGTTGCCCGGCCTGGCACGTGAATGTTTTGTGGGAGATCTCTCCTCCTCACGTGGTTTTCTCTGCTTAGCCACTCCCTCTTTTGTGCTAGCTGATGTTTTCGGGGCTGGGAGCTTCCCTGAGGGATACAGGTTCACTGGGGGGGACAGGGCTCCAGGTGGGTCACGGTGCTGCAGAGCCCATAAGAAGCCAGGCGGAGCTGCGGAGAGGACTGGCTGCTGAGTAGGGTATCAGCCGGGAGCAAAGGCCCCCTCCCTTTTTCCCCATCGCATAACTTCTCAGATTTAACGCAACCTGCTCAGGTGCTTCTCAGCATCGTCAACAACCAGAAGTAGTTGTTGTTGTTGTTGTTTTTGGAAGAAGGTAAAGCTTAGTATATCTGTGGGCTGAATTGTGGCGTGGATAGCAAATGCCAGTCACAGTTGTCGCCTCCAAGGACACATACCTGCACCCTGGAGTTGGCTCTCCCTCTCCTCCTGGGGCTGCAAAGGGTTTTCGGATCGGTTTGCGCTAGCCAGGAATGACCCAAGCTCTGCCCTTCCTTCCTATCCAGGTGTCCTGGGGATGGGGGCAGAGCCTTGGGGCAAGCAAGAACAAAGCTTTCCCCAAGATGGGCAACCGGCCGGGAGTCAGAGCCCCCTGCGCTTGTCACGCACGCAGCAGCCTTCCGACTCCCTCCACTCGTCTTCCCTGTCCTCCTCTATTCCGGCAGGCTCTGGCTGTTTTCGGTTGGGAGCTGGCCTAGGAGCGCCTAGCACTGGGAAGGCCCCATTTTTTTCATAAGCCGAACCCAGATAAACACAGCCGGGCTCAGCTCAGGCTTAATGAGCCCGTGTGCCGATCCAGACTCAGCAGATGAGCTCTGGAGCTTTTGCAAAACGAGGGCGTTTTCCGAATCTTGGCGGCAGCCTCTAGGTTGGCATCTTGGCCTAAATGCCAGGGTGTGCTTAGCGGAGCCGATCCACCCTTCGGGATGGCTTCCCAAAGGGTTCAGGGGGCAAGATGCCAGGGAAAGTTAGGAGACCCTTCTACCTGCCCCCAGAGAGAAATCCCACCTCCCTCTAGGTAGTCCGGGTTTCCAAATCCCTCTCCCACTGGAAGAGTGCACTCGGCCACTGGTCCTCTGGTCCTGGGAGGTCAACAGAGGTCCAGTCAGTCCTTAGACCCTCCCCCTCCACGATCTTGAGAGCCCAATAGGCCTGGAGCCAGGCAGAAGAGAGACCAACCTCCTTTTTGCACCCGGGGCCTTGTTTGGCAGCAACCACGCTCTGGGGTTGCTGGTCGTCCGAAGAGCCTACGCTTCAGAGCTGGCCTTGGGGAGAGGCAGTGGGTCAGCCAAGTGTTTCTGGCTCTCTCCCCCTGGGGAACAGGCTGGCATCAGCAAACACATCGCGGTCTGTGGAGGGGAGGCAGGTTTCCTGGCCTAGTCCTGAGTCCGGCGAGGCAGCGTTTCATGCCTTTCTCAGGCGCTGCTGCGGCTGTGGCTGGGCCTTCTGGGGACGAGGAGCCCTAGGCGGGTGCCTCGCCGGTAGCCAGCGGGGCAGAGAGAGAGAGAGGGCCCAGCGCAGAGGTTTGTGGGCTGATGCTGCACGCACTAATCTCGCTCCTGTCTCTCTTGTCGTCCCTTCACTCTATTCTCCCCTTCTGCCACTGCTGCTGCCGCCGCCACCTGTGTCTTTCTGTTCCTGTCTTCCCCATGTGACTGTCTCTCCTCCTCTGCTTTCTGCTCCTGCCGGCCTCCAGACCGCAACGAGGAGGCCCAAGGTGAGAAAGGGTGTGTGTGTGTGTGTGTGTGTGTGTGTGTGTGCGTGCGCGCGCGCCCTGGTGATTTTCTTTTTTTAAAAAAAATACTAATTTTATACCAACTTAATGGGGGTTAGACTAGATGACCTTCAAGGTCCCTCCCAACTCTTAAATCTGTAAGTAAGCAAATAAGAAGAAGAAAAACCGAAAGTGCAGGAAAACTAGAAAGAAAAAAAAGAGCAATAAGAGTAAAGAAAAAGAAAACAAATTACTCTTCATGACAAGTATAAAGTAAATTAACCGGTCTCTCTTAAAATACAACAAACTCTCTCTTCCCATATCCCATCTGTAAATAAATCCCTAAAAGCCCGTTTTAGTCTTAACCAGCAAAGGTCCTTTTATCAGAGAGATGACAATGTAGCTATTTTTATTTATTTATTTATATTTCGTATCTCTCAACCGCCCACGTCGCTCAGATCATTGTTGGTTTGGTTGCTTTATCGCCTCATTAACCTTGATCAAATAAGCCAACTTTATATTCCTTCCTTTTTACTTCTAAACAACCTGGGTCTCCAGTCCCTTCAAATAATGTCCCAGAAGTTGCTTTCTTTTCATTCCTCGTCTCTTCTCCCAAAGTTCTTCAAAGCTTTAACAAGTTTCTTTTGTAAGTCCAATATGGGAATATTGCCCAGGTCTCTCCCTTGGTTTGTTGTTCGTATATCTCTTTTAATTATTCAGACGTTAGTCAAGGTGATTTGTATGTCCAACATGGCAATTTTTTTTCCGTGTTATTCTTGTTAGCCTGTGATTTTTTAAATCTAACTTTCAGATCAAGCTTAATCTTGTTTAGTAAAACCTTTTCCTGTCCTTTTTTTTCTTTTACACTGTCTCTAGAGGCAGACACTTTTAAAATTAACTTAGGGTTCCATTGTTCAAACACATCCTTGCATATTTCCAGTGTTAAAATACTTTGCTCCATTCTGTACTAGTAAGTCTAATTTAAGGGTTTTTTTCCCTCTTCCTTTACCTTTAATTCTAATCTTCAGTTCCTTCTGGTTTCCTCAGCTCTCCTAGGTAAATCAGGAAAAAACAACACAACAACTTTACCGTAGGGTTGCAGTAAGAGAGTCTTTCAAGCATGCAAGTCCCAACCTCCCCGCTACCACTCGTCACTCTCTGATCCCTGAGGGTGGGCCTTTCCTCAGTTTCTTTCTCTGTCCAATGGGCACGGAGGAGTGGGTGGGATCCTGAATTCTTTCCTCCGGTGGCTTCCTGGGCAGCCTCTCTGGGTCAGAAGGCCTTTTCTCGGCAGTGGAGGTGAGGCAGCTTTCCAGGGCAGAGGTACTCCAAACTTGGCCACTTTAAGACTTGTGGACTTCAACTCCCAGAATTCC